CTTCCTGCGGTGTACCGGGCCATTCTCGACTCGTCTGGCAATGCGTGCGCGGCATTCAACACGCGCTCGCCAGTTCCCGTCGGCAACCGCCATCGCGGCCGCATCAGCTGTATCAAACCGGCTGGCCGGTGTGACTTCGGCCCCCAGTTGTGCCAGCTTTGCTTCTTATGTTGTGGGAGGGCGGGTGGGACTGGGCATGCCATGCTTGACTCGCTCGAGTTGGCTAGCTTGACTCCTTCTCCTACTCCTCCTCTGTTCCTTCCTTCCCCTCCGCTTCCGCATCCTTGCCTTCGTCATACCTACTCTTCCTGAGGGGGGCGCTGGAGTCTGGAGCAGGGAAGGCCCACCCTTCATTAAACATTTCATTACAACGTGGATGTGTTACTATAGAGAGAGGGTCATGCAGCAAACGTTGCAACACATATTATGCCGATCTGTGCATATGCGGTGTTGCAAAGCGGGGGCGGCACCAACGCGACGCCAACGAACGTCGTGGACTCGAGTTTTTGGCCTGGAAGCACGCCGCGCACGACGATCCAAATCATGAAGTTCTGCAACCGATCACTGTGTTTTTTTAGGGGGTGCAGGGGCACGCAAAACACGGTTCAGCTAAGCGTTAGATGGCGGGGTCATCCTCATGCCCCATCCCCTGCCGCCCGCCCCACCCTCCTCATGCCCCTCCGACTACCCCCGGCCCTCATCGTGCCTCCCATCCTTTGCGCCCTAGTGCAAATCATCCTCCCTTCTTCTGCCACCCCCCCGCTTCCCTCGTCCTCGTGATGCTGGCGCCGACGATGCAGCTCCTCCTTGGCCCATTGCCTCCCCCCTCTCGTCCTGTCCTTTTAATCCGTGGCCTCTTCGCCGCCCATCCTATCGAACCCCTCCCCTCCCATAGCCCACCATCCCCCCCACCTGCGCCTTTGCAATCTCAGACCACGGCCCCCTCCTGGACCAGCCGGGAGATCCGCGAAAACTCCCACCCAGTGGCCACTCCAGCGAGCGGCGCCTAACAGATGCACAGTTGGAGACACGAGCTGTGCATTTCGACCGCGTGCGACGCCCCCCCTGGACCAGCCGAAAAAGAAACGCGACAGTTCCCGCCGAGTCAACACCACCCGCGAAAGGCACACTTTAAATACACAGATGGGAACAAGATCTGTGCACACAGATCACACCACGATCTGTGTAAACAGTGGACCCACACACGAAACTACACAGTTGAAGACACCAACTCTGTACACAGATCATGTTTTGATCTGTGTATTTCGAAAGGGTAAACGCTCGCCACCTCGAGGGTACCCCGACTTTGCCAACCCAGGACCGAAGTCGACACGCACAGCTGAATGGGGAAAGCGAATACACGCTTCCCCGGCCCAGGGCCCCCCCGAGGGAACTGCAAACGCACGCTTCCCAGGCCCAGGGCGGCCGCGGTGAAATGCCGCAGCAGAGCGGCCCCCAACGGCCCGGAGGCGTCCCAAAAGGGCCCCGAAGGACACCGAAAAAGGCCGCACAGCAACCCGAGAACAAAGAGAGGGATCAGGTGTCACGGACTTGTTCACCGTCGAAGCTCCAGGCATCGGCATACGGACCGGCACTGGCAAAATGGCGGACCTTGCCACAGGCACCTATACATGTACATGTTGGCGATGCGACTGTGGTCGGCGGCCTTGCCGCCCGCGTTTGGAGTGCGCCCCGAACGCCCCAATTGGCAATCCCGTCTGTTTGGTCGCGCCACTGCGCTCGAATATCGAAATGGCGATGCGCCGCAGATGCGGGCACGCAGCGCCTGGGACTTCACTTCCCTTCTTCGAACAAGGAGGGAAGACGAGGTAGGAAGACGGACGGCGGAGCAGGGAGGCAAAGAGTAACAAGGAATAGTGGGGGAGGTGGAAAGGGGCGCTCCCCCGCCCGAGCCGCGGAGGCTTTCGACGCCATCCAGGGGGACGACGACGGGGAGCAAACTGTCCTCGGTCCGCATATAGCCATGTGCTTGCGATTCGGGTGCGCGCGCTTTCTTCGAGGCACTTCAAGCCCGACCCATACTGGGTTCACTTCTTCCCCAAAACTGTGTAAACACCCTGTCCTCTGTGCCCCCTCCTATACAACTGCCTCACAACAGAAGGGCAATGGATTCCGAACTCGAAGCAGTGCGCCATCGACCGGGCTGCTGCCGGTCCATCGCCCGCCGTGCTGTTTTTGCATACGCTCTGCGCGCCCACGTGCAGAAGCCTCCGCAGGCCGCCCAGGTCTGGATCCGCTGACCTGGACTTGGAAAGAGCGAGCGCACGAGGCGCGCGCGGCCCCGAACCCCCACGCACACCTCATAGGACCAACGACTGCACAATAACGAATGCTGCTGCGCCGATTATTGCCGCGCTTATTGCGTTGGTATAGAGGCGGGAGTACCGCAGCCGACACTTTCAACAGTATCCAACGGAAGCGCCTTGAACATTGCCTCGGCGCGCCCATTGACAGACCAGCCGTCGTTCCGATTCGAAAATGTAACGTGGATGCCTGGCACAAATACTGTGCAAGTATCCATCGGCCGGAATCTGGGAATCCAAGAAAAACAACTTTCGACGACCCGCGCGTATGAATGTGCCAACCTTCGTACCCACAGGTGGCCGGGCCAGGCGGCGCGCGAAGGCGAGGGCGCCCAAGGGCGTCTCGGGGGCACCCAGCCTGCTGCGCACGGAGACGAAAGCGGCCTGACACCACAACGAACGACTGAAAGAGCGGCCGATTCAACAGTTGGTCGACTCTGTCATTGAACCGTGCGGCCAAACACGTTCACATTCCAAACCGTGCGGCCGATCTTCCGCCGGCGGACCCGCCGCTGGCTCATTTCAGCTGGCCTTCCGCTGAGGAAGAGAAGTCGGCAGCCCGACCCCTGGAAGACGAGGCCATTTCTGGAAAGTTCTGCTTGCTACGTGCCCGGCCATCTGCCGAGGGGACTCACCAGCGGAGGTCCTACCAACCCCTAACCCCTCCTGGACACGGACCCCCCCCGAAAGACGGCCCAAAGACGCCCAAGCCCTCCCTCCTCCTCGATCCTCGACGTCCAGGAAATGGTGGTTAACCTGGTGATGGGGCAGCGATGGAGGGTGGGGAACACTGGCTCGGACGTGGACTCGGACGTGGAGACGTGACCGTGGACTCGGCTGGCGCAGGGGGGGGAAGGCGGACTCGGACGTGGAACTGCTCGGGCCTCGCATCGGGCCGCCCGAGGGTGAGCCCTCCTCCTCCTCCTCCTCCTGATGGCAACTGGCAACCATGAAGGGGCCCCAGGACACACAAACAAATACACACAAATAGAAAGATGCCCCATATTTCCTCGTATTTTCTGGGGTTTTGTCTTCCCCCCCGCTTCCCATACTTTCCCACATTTTCCTGGGAATCGACGATTAATCGTGTCTGTGTGCTTTTTCCCCTCCTGGAGCCAGCAACTGGCTCCACACGCGTGGCGCCGTGGAGGCGCCGAGGAGGGGGCGCTGGAGCGCCTGCATGGCTAAAACACTCACAGAACGACGACCACAAAGATGACCCTCGCGAAGCCCTGGCATTCATGCGATCCGCCCGGCGGTCACGAGCACATTCAGTCCTCTCCGCGCGCTTCTCCGGCCACTGCGGGTCTCGCCGGCGCTGTTCTCTGCGAGCCTGGGTTCGTCGAAGTATCTCCTCTCTCCGCCCATCAGGACCGCGATGGCACCCGCACTGCAGGTTGCTGTTCATCTCCGCAGCGCCTTCCTCCTTCTCCTGTTCCTCCTCTGCGGCCTGCGCCTTCTCCTCCTTCTCCTCTTCCTTCCTTCTCCGGGAAAGCGGGGATCGAAGGCAGCGCCCATCTTGACACATTCTTCCTTGTCGAAGTCGCTGCTGCCGTCCTCTGGCTCCGTTCAGTTGCGGGCGGCTGCTTCCAGGCGCCATGCAGCGAAGCGAAGCCCACAGTGTCTCGCATGTACTCTTCGCTGTCGTCGGCAAACATGCTGGTGTCGATCTGCTCGGCCAGTCGAACACTTTGAAGAAGTGCAAGATGTCTTCGCCACATGTTGGGGCAATCTTGTCGGACGTCTTCTACTGCAGTTCGAGAATCGGCATGCGCATGGCAACTTCAATATGAACCATCTTCGGTAACACGTCATTCTGACTCGCGCCCCCCTGGTCGGACTTGTTCGCCGACGCGCGATGGAATGCCATCTCAGCCTTGTCCACCCTCGGCGGCTCAAAGTTCTCCCACGCTGGATTCAACATGGTCGCTGTGTCCAAGTGCGTGAAGGTGACTTCAAATTTTCCCACCCGAACTTGCAACGTTGCTTCGTTCGAGTCTAGCCGTGACTGTATATAGATATATATATATATATATATATATGTGTGTTTCTTTCTCTCCTGTCGTTCGCGCCGATCCAGCCTTGCGCTAGGGACCTCCATGGCTTTGCAGTCGTCAGCTGTGCCTGCTGAGCGGGACGCGCTATGATGGTTATGCTGAGCCTCGCTTGGCCTTGAGCCTTGAGCCTCGATTCTTGGGAGCGGAGCTCTGGAGGCAAGAGAATCCGTCCGATACTGCCATCCTGCTCCTCCTCCTCCTCCTCCTTCTCCTTCTCTTCCTCCTCTTCCTCCTCTTCCTCCTCCTCTTCCTCCTCCTCCTCCTCCTCCTCCTCCCCCTCCTCCGTATCCTCCTCCCCCTCCCCCTCCTCCTTCTCCTCCTCCTCCACCTCCTCCTGCTCCTCCTCCTCCTCCTGCTACTCCTGTTCCTTTTCCTCCTCCTCCTCCTCCGAAGGTTGGGCCTGCTCCTCCTCCTGAGAAATCCGATGTCGTGATGTTTGTCCATGCGGGGTCCCCGGAAGTCCCGACACTTTCCCCAGGACCAGCTTTTCCTCCCGAGTCACTCTTCGACGGCCCTCGGGGCCCGGCGCCGAACAAAAGGCGAAACACCTCCGCCCTGATGTCTCCTTCCTTGGGCCTCTGGGTCCGAAGGGGAGGGGGGCAGGGCGTCCATGGGGGTCCTCCACCAGCTCGGTCACGCTGGAGCACAGCACGCAGCGGATGGCGCGCCCGCTCTGCGAGCGCGTCCGGGAGAGGGCCTCGGGGCCGCCCGGGGGGTCCGCGGGGCGGGGACCCCTCGAACGCACACTGACTCCTGTTGAGCAAGGGCCGACCGCCCCGGCAGTTCTATAGGCCTGCCACGAAATCTTCGCTAGATCCAGAAATGCTCGAAGAACAAAAACTGCGCTACCGAGGACCCCCCCCATACTCAGAATATATCTGGCGTGCTGATAGCTGACGTGAAACTTACCAGAATGATGCAGGTGGCCGCTGCTTCGCCGTTCCGTTGGTGGCGCCTGTCAAGCCTTGGGCGCCTGAGTACCTTGAGGGGGTCCATAGGCCGTGGGACACCGATCCGCCCGAGCACCCTCTATGGTGTCGAGAAAATGCCACGCCTGCTGTGCCCTGGACGACCGGCGCGCGTAGCGGCCGCGGTGAGAGGCCACCCCCTGCGCACCCTCTATGGTGTCGAGAAAGTGCCACGCCTGCTATGCCGTGGACGACCGGCGCGCATAGCAGCCGCCGTGATCCATGCCCTGAGGCATCCTCGTAGCCTTGTTGTCGCCTGAGGCACTGATGCATACTGCATAACACGCCTGCTAGGCCCTGCGACATTGGCACGTAATTAAAGAGACCGCGGTGAGAGACCACCCCCTGCGCACCCCCTCTGGCGTCGAGAAAGTGCCACGCCTGCTAGGCCCTGCGACGTTGGCGCGTATAGAGACCGCGGTGAGAGACCACCCCTTGCGCACCCCCTGTGACGTCGAGAGAGTGCCACGCCTGATAGGCCCTGCGACATCGGCGCGTATAGAGACCGCGGTGAGAAACCACCCCCTGCGCACCCCTTCTGACGTCGAGAGAGTGTCGTCCTTTTCAGGAAAACGCTGTGCGATGTTGCTGCACAGGCCGAGTGCTGTGCGCGGGCTCGCCCACTGCAGGCAGATCTTCGCGTGGCTGCAGCTCTGCTAGGTGCCACTCATTTGCTTGGTACGATCGTGAAATGAAAACGTTCTCAGAAGGAGGAGGAGGAGGAGGAGGAGGAGGAGGAGGAGGAGGAGGAGGAGTCGCGTTCTTTCGCGATCTCAGCGTGGTCCGATCAGCAACACGCAGCCCGCAGCGTGTCGGCACGGATCTCCACACGCAGACTGGAAACGCAGGTCTGGCGCGACACGCTCGCCAGAATCAGCGCCCCACAAACGGGGACTCCACTAACGGGTACTTTGGCCAGTGACCCAGCGAACCCAACCCTTCCCGATGCGGGCAACGCTGCACTGCCAGAAAGAGGCCCTGAAGTGGCAACCTTCGGCAAAATTTCAAAGTACCCGCTAGTAAGTACCCGTTACGGTGCCGTTGACAGAACGCGGGCCCACACGTGCCGGACGAACACGCAGAGCGTTAGCACTGATATGCTGAGCACTGTACGCCTCGCGTTGCAACGCGGCCGTATCATGGCAGCCGAATGCATGCTTTTGGTGACGCCGGCTCTCCATGGGAAGGCGAAGGGGGAAGTGGGCGAGGAGGGGAAAGGTGACGGGGAGAGAAGGGGGAGGGGGGGAGTGGAAAAGGGGAGCGATTTGCACCGCCTGCGGGGCCGTACCTCCTTCTGGGAAAGAGGAGCCGCCAGCGGCAGAAGCAGAATCCATGGGATGACGAGAACAAGAGAAATTCGCCGGCCCAACGGGCCGAGGGCGTGCTAAGATCTGCGGCAACTGGTTAACAATATCCTGGTTCGCGCGCGCGGGGCCGCCCCTGGGGGTTCCCGGACGAAAAATATCCCGGGAGACCCCCGGGACACTCGGAACAGAGATGCCAGACCGGGCAATTCTTCGACACCCCTCACGAGGATCGTGGCCTCCGAGGGGAGGGGGCGCAATCGACTCCCTCCCCTCCTGACCCAAGAGGTCCCAAAGAGCCCCCCAAGAGGCTGCAGGGGCCCCCAAGACGCCGCCAAGGAGCCCCAAGAGACACCCAAGAGGTCCCCCAAGAGGCCCCCGAGAGGCCCCCAAGAGGGCCCCAGGGCCGGCGGCAGGAGCGAAGCGATTCACTAAGACACAGGCGGCACGAGAGCGTGCCGAGAGGCCCGCAAGAGGCCCCGGAGGAGGAGGAGGAGGAGGAGGAGGAGGAGGAGGAGAAGGAGAAGGAGGGGAAAGGAGGAGGAGGAGGAGGAGGAGGAGGAGGAGGAGGAGGAGGAGGAGGAGGAGCCCCCCCCCCCAAAAAAAAAGACCTCGGGCATCTCACGCGCCCGCAGCCTCTTTTGGAGGGGCCCTTGGCGTGCCGAGCTGCTGCGCGGACGCTCCACTGGCCATCGCTCGGACGTCCATTCCCTGTGCTTTTTTCGGTTTCGTGCGTGTTTTTTTTCGCCAGATGGTCGAGGATGCTCCTCGAAGGTCCTCGCCGAGAAAAAACTGCACACGTCCGAGCGATGCCAGGTCCACAGAGAGGCCCCAGGCAGCCTCCGACCTGGCCCGCAGGCCGACCGGCCACCGGCGTGAGGGCGCAGGAGGACAAGCAGAATCACGGAAGCAGGTGCACAGTGGGAGGCAACTGCCGGGAGGCCGTCGTCGGGAGGGTCAAGGAGGATTCAGCCCCCTTTGGGAGCTGTTGCGCCGGAGTGGGCCTCGGATTAAGCGGGCCGGATTAAGTGGGATTCAGCGGGATTGAGCGGGATTAAGCAGGATTAAGCCGGATTAAGCCAGACTTCGGACCAGTGCAAAATCAGAATTTGACCTCCCAGGATCTGCATCCCAATGTACATATACCAGGCGGTTGGAAGAATCGGGTAGAAACATGAAGTACGAAGGCGTTGGAAGTGGATTGGGCGTCCGCACACCCCCCGGAGAGGAGGCAAGATGGAACACCGCTCGATTCTTGAAGTGGACTGTGATCTGGGGATCCAAACATACCTACTTTTAAATAACGACGTGTAAATGTATACATATATGTATATGTATACGTGAATGCATATGGTTAAGTAGATGTATATGTACATGTTCATGTGCATGTACATCTGTGCATATATATATATATATATATATATATATATATAAGCCATAAACATAAACAAAGGCGGGAAAACGTCACACTGGAACCCTGCAGAATCTAGGGCGGCCACTCTAGCGGCACAGTTGAGGCAGAGGTCGTGCCCGCAGGTGAGAACCTGAGATTGGAGGGAGGCACGCTCCATGGACCCCCCCGCCTCCCCCCATGTTCTGTTCCCTCTTGGCTCCTTCCTCCTCTCCTTTTCCTGTCCTCCTCCTCCTCCTCATCATCATCCGTATTCCTCCTCCTCCTCCTCCTCCTCCGCCCCCTCCTCCTACTGGTCCTCTCCACCTCCACCTTCTCCTCCTCGTATCGGCAATGACGGGCGTCATGGGGGGGGGGAGGGGGCGGGGGGGGGAGGGGGCGGGGGGGTATGACGTAACGCCCCCACCCCCCCCTCCCGCCGTGCGGTTCCGGCACCACAGCCGAGCCCGCGCGCACGACGACGATGAGCGACGAGCGACGAGCGACGAGCGACGACGACGACGACGACGCGAGCAACATGCAGGTGGCGAACTGCCCCTCAGCGCCTGTGTACACCACAGTGCTCGCGTGCACCACAGCGCTTGTGTACACCACAGCGCCAGCGTACACCGCAACGGCCGTGTGCAACGCAGCGCCTGTGTACACCACAGTGCTTGCGTGCACCACAGCGCCGGTGTACACCACAGCGTCTGCGTACACCGCAGCAGCCATGTGCAACACAGCGACTGTCTACACCAAAATGCTTACGTTCACCGCAGCGCCTGTGCACACCACAGCGCCTGTTTACACCACAGCATCTGCGTGCAACGTTGCGCTGGTGTACACCAGAGTGCCTGCGTGCACAGGATAGGTAGAAGGAGCATGTCGGTGAGGATCTTGTGAGGACAGCTAAACGCCACGCCAGGAAAATGCTGGGAATAGAATGCGACAATTTTCCCTCTTCCCTCCTCCACCTCCGCCTCCCCCTCATCCCTCACCCTTCCTCCCTGTCGTGCGGGTCGTCATTAATGCGCACGTGCGCGTCTCAGCGTGCACCGCAGAATGGTATATTCACTGGTGACGCGCTGAGTACACGTAAGAATTGAGATGTACACTGGTGCTGTGTTACACACGGCTGATGTGGTGTACGCAGGCGCTGTGGTGTACACAAGCGCTGTGGTGCCAACAGGCACCGTGGCTCACACTGGCGCTGTGATGCACGTGGCTGCTGTGGTGTACATAGGCGGTGTGGTGTGCACAAGCGCTGTGGTGCACGCAGGCACTATGGTGTACACAGGCGTTGTGGTGCAGATCGCCACCGACATGCTGCTGCTACCCGTCCTCGGTGATTCCTAGGCATGCCCAGACGCCGCCGGCGCGAAACGTGACGTCATCGGCACCCTCCCCCCCCGATGATTGCCGTCATCGGCCCAGAATAATAATACACAAAAAAAACATGATCCAGCTGCGTCCGCGCCCACGACGACGACGACGACGACGACGACGACGACGACGACTGCAGACCAGACTCTTATGCGGATTCCTATGCGGACACCTATGCGGATCAAGATGCGCACGGCGGCAGTGCCCGAATCGCACTGGGGGGGGAACGTTAAGTCGTAGGGGGGGGGAGGGGGGCGGGGGGCCATGACGCCCGTCATGCCCCAAGCCATAAAGAAACGGGCTCCATGTCCTCCTGATTAGTCCTTCCCCCTCATTTCTCCTCCTCCTGATATCCCCCTGCTTCTCATCTTCGACGCTTCCACACGGTTCGGCACCATGGCGCGCCCATCAAATTGCACACACACACACAAACCCCCACACACACACACACACACACACACACACACACACACACACAAACACACGCACACGCACACACACACACACGCACGCACGCACACACACACACACACACGGAAAACAGACAGAACACGAGAGAGTGAGGGTTGCAAATGCTGCGTCTGTCCGAGCAGAGCGAGTTTTAAACAACGGCAGCTCAACATCGGTCACCAGACCCCTCCTGGGGTCAAGAGGCACCAATGTTCCGAGCTGAGACAAGCCGTGGCGACGAGGAGCGCCCCGAAAGTCAACAACCGTTTTCTCAACTCGCCTTCCTCTGGGCCTGGAGCTGATAGCAAGGGCTAAAACCTCCACGTCTCGTCCTCCCCTCTCTGAGACGCGGCCAGGCCGACCCCTTCCAAGTATGTTCTCGCTGGCCATCCGCCAGGCCCGCCGACAACGCGGATAAGGCATCTTCTCCCATCGGTTTCGCGTCTGTTTGACGGCCTCTGTCGATATCAAATCGGCCCAAGATGTTCGGAGGGGCCTCCAAGCAACATCTCCAAGAGAAACCAAAATAGCTCCAACACGCCTCAACACGGTCCAGGAGGCTGCCACGATGCCGCAAGAAGGCCCGAAGAGGTCCATCAAGCAAGCCTGAAGAGGCAAAATCATTGATTTACGTCATGTGCGTCAATGGATTTCTGACTCTCGCCATTCTTCTGTTTATTGAGAGTGTGCAGCGCAGCCAAAGAGGCCCGCAAGATCGTACCACGACGGCCCAGAACGCACCAAGAGCGCCCCGAAACAGCCCTAGTGGGCCCAAAGATGGCCCCAAGATGGTCCAAGAGAGCCCCAAGGCGGCCCGAAGACTGCCCAAGGAGGCCCTCACGACGGCACCCAAATGTGCCAGACGGCCGAAGAGCGCCCTAAGACGGCCCAAGAGAGCCTCAACATGGCCTGCGCGGGCATCAGGATACCACCAAGACGGCCCAAATCGAACAGAGCCCCAAGACATCCCGAAGACCAACCCATCCAGCGAATGTCCCTAGCGGTTGCCCTAAAGTCTGGCGGGGGGGCGTGCCGTCTACAAACGCGGCCGCGCTTTGGCCTGGCTTTCCATGACGCAGGCGTTTTCGAACGGCAGGTTGGTGGCGGTGACTCGGCGATAACATATAACATTGTAGAACTGATCGCCTTGTATCCTACCATCCGGGGCCGAGCATGTTTCGTCGTGTCGCGCCGTATCGCATCGCGTTGCATCCACTGCGAACTGCAAAACGCTAACGAACTCAATGCCGCCACATGCTGCTACGAATGGTGTCGCTCTTAGACTATACTTTCTGACGTTGACATGTCTTATCTTCTTTTAAAGGGCATGGTGACATCGTCTCGCGAACACTGTGGACGACTCCAAATACCCCTCCCAATTCTCAATGCGCTTGCGAGGCGGGCTGAGAACAACCCGTGAAGACGGGAATCCCCTCAAACATCGCAGAGGATCAGATGCGGAGGTATTTGAGGGAGAGGCGCACAATGACGACGTTGCACGTTTGCGAAGTCTCTAGGGCGCATACGCAGACGAGCACAACATGATGCCCAAGCCCACGAACAAAAGCACATGGCGAGAACGAGGCACGAGAGAAATTGCACCTCTCAGAGGATGACTGCATGCCGGCGGGCACTGTGTTCAAGAAGCGTCTGAGGGAAGAGCCAGGGCATCCGCCAGGGTTGTGCCGCACTCTGCACAGCGAGATGGCAGGTCCCCACGCCCTGCTGCGCCATTGGCAACCTGCCCCGTGCAATCAAACAGTCTCTGCAACGCATCCATGTGACAAGATGCACATATTGAGTGATGGCACCAACGCTGGACAATGGTTCGCCGAGGATCGCCGGCGAAATACACGCTTACAAGCAGAAGCAACCTTGAACATCACACTCAGCAGCCCAACGAGATCTGGAGCGCCCACCCGACGAGGCTGGCAGCACCACGCTCATGGACGGCAGCCCTGGCTGTTGGTGCACATGAGATGGAACAGAAACCTGTGCTCATGTACCCCACGATCTGACCGGAGGCGGTGCTTCCATTTCCATCCCCAAATGAATTCAAACATATCGAGCACGACATCTCGACTTCGCCACTGCAGGCGCCCGATCTGGCGTCGTAAGGGGAGAAGAAGGGATGAATAGAGAGATGGCGAGTAGCGCTGAGGTAGGCGTTCCGTGGGCGGGCATTCATAGATTTTGCGCCGGCAAAAGTGAGTCGATCCGCTCAGCGATCCGGCTTGACTCGAGCATCTTACTCGTCGGTGGGAACCGCGCGGTTGTGGCAACCCCGTGCAACAAACTTGTATGGCCCTTCCCGAGAAGTTGCTGTGGGCCTCCGCTAACTGGCTCAGCTTGCTCCGGCCGTGTGGCAGTGCGTGGCCGCGGCGTCGCAATATTGAAAACAAGTGTGGCTGCTGGCGTCTACCTCGTACCACGGCCGACACGATGTCCAGGCCTCAGTTGCGCGATAGCTTGCATCGCCTGTTGTGTCTAGATCAGATTGAATGAAAGAAGGCGGCGGTAATAGCTGATCAACGTTCACTTGTATGTACATAAGTACATAAGTTCCTCATTTCGCTGAGCGTGCTGGCGCACGGTGCTCGATGGGGTTCCGTTGTTCGCCCCGTTCGTATTTGGGGCTGCCTGGTGCTTCCAGTGCACGCTCGGACTGAGTTCGAAGGGATCGCTGGCGGATACGGCCGTCGGGCGAGCCTGGCTGTTGCTACCCATGCCAGTTGCGCTGGCAGCATTTGTGTGATGACTGGCGAGCTCTGGCTGCGTCCTGTGCGTTGACAGCCCTTGTTGTCGCGGCAGTGCTTCACCACGTGTGGCTTGACGGTGGACAGTCGGACCTAGGCCAGAAGCACATCCCTCAAGAAGCTGAGACCCTCCGCTGGCCAAAACGCACAGAACATCCGAGGGTGCCCTCCCCAGGGATGCACAAGAACACCCAACGAGCGCTAAGAACGCGAGGGTGCCCTCCCCGAGCCGACCTCTGCTTTCTACCTCGGTCCGACTGCAGCCCCTCTCCTCTCCTCGGCGCCCCCCTCACCCTGCACTGCCCTCTCTGCGGGCAAGACTCGTATCGCATCCGCCGCGCCTTGGAGAATCGGGCTGCCTTCCCCGGAAACCAGAGGCGCAGTGGATATGGGTAGACATCTGCCAAGGGGCCCAAGGACACACAAATAAATACACGCAAATAAAACTATGCCCCATATTTTCCTATATGTTCGGTGTCTTGTCTTCCCCTCCACTGCCCGTAGTTTCCTATATTTTCTGGGGGATCGACGATTAATTGTGTCTGTGTGTTTTTCCCCCTCTGAATCTGGCTCCCAAATGCTGATCCTTCCCCTCCCGGGGCGGGCCGGCTCGGGCAACTGCATCCGTGGCTCAGCCCAGCCAGCAGCCCTCTCCTGCAGGGAGGCAGGAGGAGGACAGGGAGCAGCAGGAGGGGAAGCAGGCGGAGGAGGAGGAAGAGCAGGTCAACTAGGTGAGAGAGAGAGCACCTGATGAGAAGCATGGGGGGAGAGGAGGGGCGGGGCGAGAGAGAGATAGAAAGAGTGAGAGAGATGAGGGATAGAGAGAAGAGACAGGGACAGGAAGAGATAATAGAGAGAGAGAGAGCTGAGACATAAGCGAAGGCAAGATAGAGAGTGAGAGAGATATGGAACAAGCGAGAACAATACATAGAGAGAGAGAGAGAGAAAGAGAGAAGTTGCGAGATCCTGGAAAGGGTAGACACTAAAGACTTACTACGGCCGCCTGTCGGATATGCAAAGCTCATTTGCACTACTTAATTTCCACACGACTTGCTGGAATTCAAAATGTCAAACATAGTTGTACCAATCGGACTTGCCACGACGTGCGAAATACACAGTACGTGCGTAAGACAACACTCGAACCCGCCAATGATAAACAAATCATGGCCACAATTGGGAAGCGGCAATGCCCAACACAACGTGGAACAATACACTAATTCGCCGGCCCAACCGGCCAGAGGCGTGCTAAGATCTCCGGTAACTGGTTCACAATTCTTCTAGTTCGGGCGCGCGGGGCGGCCCCTGGGGGTCCCCCGGCGAAAAGTACCCCGACAGCAGCCCGGGAAGGTCCCGGGAAGGTCCTGGGAAGGTCTACTCAGAGATGGTTTTCCTCCTGGGTGCGGCCTTTCAGGCCCCCCAGAGCGCGCCAAGAGGGCCCCAAGAGACCCCCAAGACTGCCCAAGAGGCCCCCCGAGACGCCCAAAGGACGCTCCAAGACGCCGAAGATCCCAAGACGGCCCAAGAAGCCGCCAAAACGCTCCAAGTGGCCTCCAAGAGGCCTCACAAGAGCGCCCCGAGAGGCCAAAACCAACATTTTACGATTGTTTTGGAAGGATTTTGGCCTTGTCGCATTTTCGGCTTTCCGATGCTCCAAGACGGCCCAAGAGGCCCCCAAGAGCGCACGAAGATGGCTCAAGAGGCCCCCAAGAAGGCCCCCAGAGAGCCCAAACGGGCCCCGACGGGCCCAAGAGACGCCCAAGACGGCCCAAGAGAGCCCCAAGACGGCCCCAAGAAGGGCCCAAGATGGGGACCACGAACCGAAACCTCGAGCCTTCCGCCCCAAGAGGGCCCCAGGAGGCCCCGAGAGGCCCCCAAAATGGCCCAAGATGCCGCCAAGAGGCCCCCAAGAGACCCCAGGAGGCTCCAAGGAAGCTCAAAAGAGGCCCTACAAGGCTTCACAAATGTCTCCCAGGCGCCCCCGAACGGATCACTCAGGCAATCGACAGCCGTGCCCCAATATGGGCCGGCGGAGTGAGCGAAGCGAGCGATTCAACATACTCTCACTTGGCACTCAAGCAAAACCCCGTATACCACAATGAACAACTTACAACAGATGCCAGAATAAGCAGAGACACACAAATAAGAGCAACTGCCCAACAACAATACGTCTAAGTTTGCATGCGTTCAGATGGGTCCCAGAAAATGCTGATCATTGACGATGTCCGTCGACGCATGCAGAACTGATTCAGACGCCAATGCAACACCGATCACTTCGAAACATGCCCAACTCCAAAATGACCCCGCTGCCATGTTGGGATTCGAACTTGCTAAGGAAGCCCGCAGTTGTGGTGGAGTGCCAATTTCAGCACCTAGAGGCTGAACACATAGTGCTGAGAGTCTGGGGATGCACCAGGCGCCGCCTTGCTGGCAATGGCCCGACCCCCTTCTTGGAAGCTGGGAATTATACAGACCCGCCGCCTGGAAGATTGACCTCCGAGGACCCTGGGCGGCGGTGAGACGTATATATGTATATCAATATATGTATATACATCCATCCACCCATCCATCCATACATACATACGTGCATCCATATCTACATATATACATGCACACGACCTAAATATGTACACATATGTATATTTATATCTATATATATACATATATATGTATATGTATGTACGCGCATGCATGCATCTTTATCTATATATATATATAGATGAACACATACACGCACACACCCGCATCCACGCATACACGCATAGACGTATACACGAATACATACATATATACATGCATGCAATCATGCAAATAGGCATGTCTTCATACGTGCATGCGTACATACATACATGTGTACATACATACATACATGTGTGCATACATACATACATGCATGCATGCATGCATGCATTCATGATCGCAGACATGTATGCATGCATGCATACATGCATGCATACACAAATACACGTGCATCTACACATACACATGCACATACAGTGGGATTTCGAACTGCGTCTCCCCCGCCAACACTTTGTGCAACACCCTTCAATGGGATTCCGAACTGCGTCTCCCCCGCCAACACTTTGTGCTAAACCCTTCAGTGGGATTTCGGACTGCGTCTCCCCCCCCCAACACTTTGCGCTAAATCCGGATTGCGTCTCCCCCGCCAACGCTTGGTGCTAAACCCTTCAGTGGGCTTTCGAACTGCGTCTCCCCCGCCAACACTTTGTGCTAAATCCTGCATGGAGTTTCGAACTGCGTCTCCCCCGCCAAAACTTTGTGCTAAACCCTTCAGTGGGATTTCGGACTGCGTCTCCCCCGCCAACACTTTGTGCTAACCCCTTCAGTGGGATTTCGGACTGCGTCTCCCCCGCCAACACTTTGTGCTAAATCCGGACTGCGTCTTCCCCGCCAACACTTGGTTTCTAAACCCCTCAGTGGGATTTTGAACTGCGTCTCCCCCGCCAACACTTGATGCTAAATCCTGCATCCCCAGGCCGAAAGATCTTGACTAAGAATATGAGAACACCAATGGATCCAATTGGATCCCTTTTCGGGCGTGGGAGAGTTTCGTGGATCATATTTCTGTGCTGCGCGGATCCAATTTCCTGTGTGAAAAAACGATGCATCAATTATTTCCCGGCAATGAAAATATAATAACAACTAACGTCCGGGACCC